AATCAACAAGAATGAGGTTCTGTTCAAGTTCAGTATAAAGACAGGCAAAGCTATGACCAGGTGGTTCGTCGGCAAAGCACGCAGGGGCCCATAAAAATACAGACAGGTACTCTTCCTGCTCATAATGACTGGAGTGCAACTCAAGACAGTCAGACAACGCAATAGCAAGATTTGTAAAGAATGATGCTGGAGGGCAGGTTAGGATGTAGTGAGGAGATGGCTACCATCACAGGCCTTCTGTGGGGGCCAGCTGCAGCAACCCATGTGGAAGGAAGATGAGGAGAAGAATTAACACACAGCAGCTCTACAGCTTGGAGTCGACACCCAAGTCTACAGGCGATGACAAGGCTGAGGCAGGGAAGGCGATCTCACAGAAGGAACAACATGTGCCTGTGGAAAGGACTGTGGCTTGAGGGACAGAGTGACAGGTGTACATGTGACTGTGCTGTGTTGGTGCTTTGGGGTTCCAGCTGGTAGCTGTTAGGCCCCTGAGGAGAAGGAGAGCTTGTCTGTGAAACGTGTAGAGATGAGGGTCACGGGCATCAGAAGCACAGGAAGCAAGAGGAGCAGAGGATGTGGGTGAATGTGGCTCTGGATGACACTGAGCTCCAGGGTTCACGGCCTTTCTCAGGTGCTGCGTCTTGACTGCAGGCAAGCCTTTTAGATCTCAAAATGCCTCTGCAGCAACCAACACCTTTGATTAGTTGGTGGGGAGAAGAGAAGGCACAAAAGGAGCCAGGGCACCAACCTACAGGAGGTGGCTTCAGTCACGTCATGACTCCCGCCACCCTCCTGAGCTTGGAGGAGTGGCTCAGGGTCCCCAGCATGTTGGGGACCAGATGGAAAGCAAGCAGAGGAGAGTCATGGGGACTCTTCAGCTCAGCTGTTCCTTGTGCTGCCCACCTCATGCAGTTGGCTGTATGTGGAAGCCATGAGCATTTAGTGAGTATCTACTATTTGTCAGGCACTGTTCTAGGCACTGGGGAAAGAAGTGTTGATAAAACTAGCCAAACCCCAGCCTTTCTGTGTGTGTCCTAGGGAGGGACAGATGGAGAAGAGAGAAGTGGGTGACTATAAACTGTGATGGGTAGAGAGGAGTGAGTACCATGCAGAATGACAAGGCAGAGTGTGGGGGAAAGGGTGTGTGTGTGTGTGTTGGGTCAGTTCAGACTTCTCAGTAAGTAGCAGGCCCACCTCCTTGTTCTCTGGTTCTGGGGAGCTCAGTGCAGGGACCATTCGGCAGCACAGCACAAGTGTTGAGTTCAACCACTGTGGTCAACCTCTTTGATCCTTCTAGCACCCTGAGGCTACAGTCACCAAGTCCCCAACTCACTGATGGAAACCTAGGCCCAGGGAGGCTGAACAGATAGGTCCAGGTGACAGATAGGAAGGTAACAAAGCCAGAGTGGAGCACAGGTCTATTTTCAAAGACGCGCTCTCAAGCACTGCAGCACACAGCGTGTGAGTCAGCCGTGCCCAGCTGACCACAAGCATGTGTTGGGCATGAGTCCTGCCTTCATCAGCTGTCCCAGTGCCCCCTGGACCACGGGTTGCCCCTCTAGCAGGAGGTCTGATAGCCTCTGAGTGTCATGAGACACCTCACTCTCACCTTTTTTGCTGTGTATCTCATTTTCTGGGTGTCATATTTTTCCAGTTTAAGGGTCTTTTGGAAAGAATCTGAAAACTCAAGGAAGGTGTGGGGGGGGCAGGGTGGTTGACTTTGCAAAAAAGGCTCCTGAAAGCTATTGTCATGTAAGGAATGAGGCCATCAAAACCCCCGCCAAACTCATAACCACCCCTTGCACCAACTTTAAAATTTAGTTCCTTCCCCAGAGTCCCTCAGCTTGGCTTCGCTGCCCTCCAGCTCAAGCTGGTTTTAACAACCTCCCTCCCCTTTGAGTCGCGCTATTGATCTTCATTTTCCAGACTGACTTTGGCAGTGAACCACTGTTATCTTGGAAGGTTTATCAGGGGCTTAAAGCTTTCATTAGCACACTTAATTTCCAATACGTTGCATGAATGTTTCTTCACAAGGAGTGTCTAACTGCCTTGCTACCCACAAGGTTTGAAGTCAGGGAAGCTGCTAGAGTTGATGGAGCTGGTTATTTTGACTTTCAAGTTTATAGCCTGGGTCAGAAGATAAGTGAAACAACTGGTCTCAGGATGATTGGCCCGGGACTTGCCAAGTGCAAAATGAAGTTTCTGTTGATAATTTTCTTTGTTTTAAATAAGCAATACAATTATTGATCTCTATTCACATTTGATTTTGGGGGCAAGTGTATTTAAATTACTTTTCTTCCCATTTTTATTCTGGGGTTTTAAACAGAGCTCCACATCCACAACTAATTTATTATGGGCTGGCCTGTGATGTTGTTCTAGTTAAAAATCTCTTCTAAATGATAATTTGCCACCACAAAGTATATTGTTAGAGATAAAAACAGGACCAAAATTAGAAAAAAAAAAAAATCCAAGGTGAAAAAAAAAAAAAAAAAAGCCGTGGTTTCTCATTTTCCCCCTCAAGCATAAATTGTTGAATAAGGAGATTTTTAAAAGCCAGAAATTGCTGTGGAGGGATCCAACGCTGGCAGCTGGCAAACTGGCCAGGGACACATCTGGCATTCCGGGTTGGGGGAGGCTCGCTGCAGCACGTACCACAGCCTCGCTCCTGTTGTCCTCGGTGAGGACATTTTCAAATACAGACTGAGGGAGAACAAGCGGGAAGAATCAACGTCCTGATCAGAAACCACCTAGGCTGCAGTTGTTTTTCTTGGGCCCCCACTGTGTGCTTGATTTCCTGATTGTTCAGAGCCAGAATAACAAAATCCATCCAACCCGGGTGATTTGGACAAAGCTTCCTGTGGAAAGTTACCCGTTGGGGTTGATCTATCCAGACCAGTGGTTCTTCACTGAGGCCAATTTTGCCCTCCAAGGGACAAAGGCAATGTCTGGAGACGTTTTAGGTTATCATGACTCAGAGGGGGTGCCACAGGCGCCTGGCAGGTAGGGACCAGTGATGCTGCTGACAGCCCACCTTGCACAGGACAGCACCTTCCCCATCAAAGAAATTTGCTCCGAATGTCAGTAGTGCTGAGGTTAAGAAACCTGGCCTGTGCGTGCCTGTGTGTGTGCGTGTGTACACATGTGTGCATGGTGCACTGAATCTGAGTTTCCTCAGCGGGGCAGTTGGTGTGCCATTCTACCCAAAGTTCCTGAAACCTGGAGATGAAGTTCAGACATGCCTCAGCTCAGATCCTTAAATTATGTAAGTAGCTGAAGGATTAACTGGGTTCTGTTTCCTTTCACTAAAGAAAGGATCACACGGTCTGGTAATGAAGCCAGTGATGAAAATGGCTTTTGAACAAATTATCCAGTAGAACATGGTGCCCAACTTTGAACTGGGGGCTACAAAGGCAGCTCAAGGGAAGCAGAACTGCAGCCTTGCTTAGCCTTGGGGATCAAACTGAGGTCCACTGGGGTCTGGAGTGGTTCCCCGCCTGCATCAGCCTCGCTAGGTACTCTTGGCTTCGGTCTGATTGTCACGAAAGGTCACCAAGGAGTGAAGCAGCAAGACTCTCCAAAGGCAAGCCTCCACGCTAAACTTCAGTGATTTCATTGGCATGACAAGAAGCTTGGGGCCTGCCAAAGACAACAGCCCTGTGCTGTGACCGAGACTGCAGGCTTCAGGGGGAAAATGTCCCGCTGCTCTGGCCTGCTCCAGTCCCACTGGATGGACGCGCCTGGGGGAGCTGGAGGAGCAGGGGCAGGTATACAAGTTCTCACCCTCTCCATCTCAACAAACTGGCATAGGCTCTTCCCTTGGCTGCCCCTGAATGCCTCTTCCATGCACCATTCAGCCAACAGGGCCATCTGAGCCTATTTTTGCAAAGGTGGGCACTCTGGGGCGGTCTAGCAATGTGACCTCTCACTTCTGGCATGGCAAAGAAAGCACCCCTGACGATGTGTGTTGTTGCACACACATCTGTAACTCTTCAAACTTCAAGCACACCCCTCCCTGCATGTCCCTGCATCTCTTTTCAAAACATATTGCATAGTAATTTGGGGGTGGAAAAAAAGGCTGTGCTGAAGCACTTTGGTGCCCAGGCCTGCCTAGGAATGGACTTCAGAACACCCATGGACATGGGCATCACGTCCTACTGCAGGACCTCACAGCACTGGACACTTGTTCTGTGCCAGATGGTTCCAGGCAGCAGGCAAAGGGCTCTGTAAGCTTCACAGTCATCCCACACAGAGCAGAGTTTGGTAAGCCCGTCTGACAGATGAGAATGTTGAGGCCAAGAGAGCTGATGGACGTGCACAAAAGCCAATATGAGGCTCTGGGCCAGATGGTCTGACCAGGACCAGAATTCTTAGCCCTTCACCTTGTGATGGTGCTTGGGATGGGCCCTGAGTTGGTCACACTTCAGTGACTATGACTATTATTGTCATCTTTGCCAATGGTCACCGCGCCCTCATACTGGCATTGTGATCAGTTGGCGTTAGTAGGGAGCACCTGCTTAAGCCATCAGGAGGCCATTCATCCTGGAGAGGGCACTGTCTCCTCTTGGGCCCCCGCTGTCAGGCCTGCTGGGCAGCAATCTGGGCTAAGGGCCTTGGGCCCTTCCCTACCTTGTCCCCAGTCTTGATGCAGAACACAGTCCTAAGCACCCACAGGCCCAGGACTCAGCCAGCAAGACCAACCCAGAGTCTGAGTAACCTGGCGTCTGTTCCTCTCAGACTCAGCGGGTCTGGCTTACTCCTGCATTTTTGACCCCCAGCATCTCTTGGGTCTACTCAAGGAGTTGCTCTGAGCACTTGGAGGCCAGGATGCTGAAGACGTCACAGGTACCCACCAGGTGAGGCTGGAGAGGGGCCTGTGCGACACAGCATCCCTGACCTGGTACAAAGGCCCAGTGTAGAGTCCTCAAGGGCGCTGCGAGGACAGCAAGCTCCCTCCCTTCAGACCCCAGGCGGGGAGCTGGTGTGCGGAGGGTAGCACCTACCTCCCAAAAGCACCAGGATGAAAGCGAAGGGGAGCATGGCTGCGGGCATCCCGTCGGGGCCGGCAGGACGGCCTGGGACTGCACAGAAAGGAGGCGCGGGCTCTGGGAACTGGGACGCTGCCGCCGGTCTGTGTCCCGCGAAGAAGTCGCGAGGGTCCTGCGCCCCTCGGCGCTCACCAGCGCTCGCCCTCCCGGGCTGTGGGTAGCTGTAAGTCGAGCTGCGCACTCATAGGTCCAACTTGCCAGAAGAGGTGGAGACAGCCCGGCGTGGCGCGCTCACCCGGGCAGAGCGCACAGCCCTCTGGAGCCGCAACTCCTGCAGTTCGGACCCCCCCACGACCTCCCTACTGTCCCCGGCCCTCGCCTCCCCCAAAGTCTTCTCAGTGCACCAGGAGGCCTCCCCAACCTTGTCTCCGACAAGCCAGAGCGGTGCGCTCCTCGCGCGCTAAAGCGCACCTCTAGCCAGGAGGTTTTCTGAAAGGGCAAGGGGGAGGGGGACGCCCCCCTAAGCCCCACCAGCCGACCTGGGACCCCAGAAGTTGCTATTCTGGCCTTTCAGATACTCTTGCAAAAGTCACGTCAACGTGGAGCCCAGAAGCAAAGGAGCGCAGTGAAAGTGGCCAACCCAGGCGTCCCGCCGCAGCCGCCAGCAGCCGCTCTCTGTAATTAGCTTGTCCCCAGCTCCAAAGCGGTCTAGGCCAAGTGTGGAGCCGGCTAGGGCGGGTTTCCTCCCCCACCCCAACTCCCAACTCCTCCTCCTGCTGCCACCCCACAATCCTCATCTGAGTGAGTCAGTTTAGGGCCGCAGCTCAGAGATAAGGCAGCTGTGAGGCGGACAGACATGGTGCCCACACATTGGACCCAGCATTGGGCCTCCTGGGTGGTATCCTGCTTGGCAAGCAAGGCTTGAAGAAAGGTATGTGCGCACCTGGAAAGGAGAACCAAGCAAGTTGTGAGGTTTATGAATGAAGGAGGAGTCACCTGGCTGGAGAACGGGTTAATCGTCCCATATGGATGGTCTGGATAATTGGAATAGAACAGGGTGGGGGCTGGGGCTGGAGATGTGTGGGTACCAAGGACCATATGCTTGCTTGCCAGGAGCTGGGAGGGGAACAGAAAGAATATACAAAGAGAAAAAAGGAAAGAAGGGGAAAAGGGAAGGAGAGAGAGAAGAATGAGAAAGGAGAGACATGAAAGAGGGAGAGAAAGCAAAAGACCACAAAATGGAGAAAAGGAGAGAGGAAGAGGGAGAGAGGGGGGGAGAGAGAGAGAGAAAGAAAGAGAGAGAGAGAGACTAAGAGGGAGAGCGAAGAGAGAGAGATGTCCCCCTGGGGCAGGGTTGGGGTAGATCTGTGCCCATGGCACTTGTCTGAGCAGGCAGCCCACCATCAGAAGGTTTCATGGATTTACCTGTCCCATGTTGGTAGGCCGAGCATCCCAGGAGGACCTCTTCATTTGGTTTCCTACCTGATACTGGGGTTAGACTCCTAGGAGCCACAAGAGCCATCATCTTCAACCCCAGGACCCCCAGCCTGGGACACCCTGGGTTCTCCTCCTCTGCAGAAGCAACAGGGAATAGCCAGGTGCCCAGTGAGGCCTCAGTGTGACCTCACACTGAGGGAAGTGTGAGGACAGCGATTCTCCTCCTCCCTGAAGTTGACATTCTTTCTTCTGTGCATTACTGAGAACTGGCTTGAAGTGGCCTTATTGAAACCAAGGTTGGTTCCAGCCTCCCATGGCAGGTGGAGGCCCATGCAATAGGATGTTTGCAGGTGAGGGGATGACTTGATGGGCCAGAGGAGAGCTGTACAGGGTAATTACTTATAATCGCATAATTGTGATGTTTGTGGCAATTATGTGTCTTTAAAATTTGCAAATTTTATAGTTACAGATAGTAATAGTTTATAGTTTTATAGATGAAAAGTGACAAACTATCCTGACCATAACAGTTGGAGACTGCCATCTCTGGCTTTGTGACTGAAGGCATTTCCAAGTCCTAGGCATGAACAGGGGTTCGAATATTCATGGTTTGCTGTAGGAAGGGGGGCATTGCATTGATGTCCCAGGTGGGGGCCAACTTTGGTACTTTCAGGACTTATAGTGCTATTGGCAGTAGGCACTCCCCCACAAAGTATGGCGGGCATGTATTGATAGTTCTGTCGGCTTGTTTCTGTGTAAAAGGAATTGCTGATACTCTCTGAGAACCCTGTGTGGGGCAGGTGTGGAGTCCTTCACATCCAAATGACCTGAATGGAAGGAGTTACTGTTAGCCTTGTGTCAGCGAGGCTGGAATAAGTTCTGAGGGTTTGGACCACTGTCCCAGTGCTGCACAGCTGGGATGTGAGAGAGTGAGGATTCAGTGCTCAGGACCGGGTGGAGAGGCTGGAAAGGGCAGGGCGCTGGAGGAGACTGGCTCCATGCTCCTCACTGCACAGGTAAGGAGCAGAAGCACAGTGTAGGAGAGCTACCTGCACCTACCTGTTCCAAGGCAAGGCACACCTCACCCCAAAAAAGTAAAAAAGCAAAGAACACAGATAATGTTGGAACAAGACTCAGCTCAAGTTACGAGGAGCTCAAATGAGAGAGGAGGAAGCAAGTGAAGCCAAGACTCATTAATGGCTTTGCACATATCTTTACTTTTAAGAAAGAAAGAACAAGGGGAGGGAGAGAGGGAGGGAGGGAGGGAGGAAAGAAGGAAGGAAGGAGGGAGGGAGAGGAGGGAGGGAGAGGAGGGAGGGGAGAGGGCTGGAGGGAGGGAGGGAAGAAAATCTATATCGTCCAAATCTTGCATTTTGTTAGGGATGACACACCTGTGACTCCTGATCTCTATCTTACTCACAGAATAATCACGTGAGAAGATTTGAAATGGCAGATACTACAAGCCACGAGTCACCTCCGAGGGCATGGACTGCCTTTTGGCTTCCGGAGCTGGACTTTCTGGGCTGTTAGCCACAGGTGGTCAGAGCTGCCTGGGGTTTGGGATGGACACAAGGGGGTCTTGCTAGGAACAGACATGGGGGTGTGAGAGGGTGGCCATGAGTCCCCATGAATGGGAGAGAGGAGGCAAGCCTCCCTGCTCCATGCGCGTCTCCCACATCTACTCCCAAACCAAAATCCCATCCCCACTTCTCCCTCCCCTTTCCTCCCCTCCCCTCCCCGACACCTACCTCCCCATCCGTCCTTGTCTCTGTTAAAAGCACCTCAGGGAGATAAGATCAACCCTGAAATCTTGCTATAAAATGGTCTGTTTCCTCTGCTTGTTATCAGGGGTGTCTGATCAAAGAAATGTTGCTGTGCCTGGTTATCTAATAACCAAATAAACATCCAGGCGGGCCTCTTGGGCTGCTCTGGATGAAGTGAGGGTTATGCCAGACCAGGACCCAGTCTTCCCAGACCCTGAAACTGCCTGGAGAGAAGTCGAAGGTCACATGGCTGGTGTGCAATGGAGCCTGAGTAGGAACCTGGTCTAGAGCATGAAAGTCTAGCTCCTCAGCCTGACCCTAAGGTGTCTGGCTACTGATGAGCTTCTTTTCCACCAGGCAGATTGTGGAAACTCTTTGAGCTGCCTGGAACCTCCTCCTACCAGCACACATATCTCTCAGTCTTCTTGTTCCATTTGGTTGTTGTATGTGTGTAGGGGGAGTGTGGCATTGGAGGGTTTAACCTAGCACCAGGCACCATAAGTGAGTATGTTTGAATGAATGGATGTGTTGTTGAGTGGATGGATGAATGAGTGGGTGAAGAGATAGATTGAGGGGTGCCTAGAAGGAAGGATGAGAAGGCAGGTGGATGAATGAATGGGTGGAAGGATAGATGGAGAGGAGCCTGGATGGGTGAATGTGTGGGCAGGTTGATGGATGGATGGATGGAAGGATGGATGGATGGATGGGTAGAAGGGTGGATGGATGGATGTTGACCAGCATTGCAGTTGTCACAATTGTTTGAGTGGTGCCCAAGCAGAATGGCTTATTGATTTTTATCCTCACATTAATTTGTTAATAATAAGTCATCAATAAACTTGATGATTCATTAACTCACTCCAGGATCACCAGTCTCCACCTTGTGGAGATATATTTTAGTTCTTGTCCTGGATGGGGAGGGGGCACTTTTCCACAATGGTGGGTGGGTGGGTATATAAACTCTGCTGAGTCAAGAGCAAATATTTGTTCTTATGTTACCAGCCTTGCCTGCTTGGGACAGTGGTGTTTTTTGTTTTTAAATTTCCTGGTCTCCAGCCCAGCCCTTTGACACCAGCACTGCCCATGGTTGATTGTGGGGTGAACAGTAGGGGGTTGGATCCCCTGTTCTTGGGAGTCACAGCCAGTTTGGATCTGTCAGAAAACCAGGGCTTGCAGGCCATCCATGGAAGAATGGAGTGGCTCAGGCTTTTTTTCTTGAGAAGCTAGAAAAAGTGTGAGGAAGGCTTCTGTTGACCTTGGTGTCAGGGAACACCTACTCTGCCTGGATGCAGGGAGACTGGGGTACCTGGGGGAGTATGTTTTATGCCACCACTCATGCAGTGCATGGCTTTGGCCCTCTCGTCATCTGAAAGGTGAAATCCTCCAGGTCTTAGGGGAAAATCCGGCCAGGGGACACGACAGTTCTTAGGGTGGGGCCAGGGAGTCTTGAGTCCTTGATAAGATGGCAGATGTGACTATCATTTTAGTGGACTGGAGGCTGAGTGACCACCCAAGTCCCCTTGTTTGGCTCAGCCCTGCAGAGCACTGGGGCTGAGAGGGCCTCCAGGATCATCCACTTACTCAGGGGAGGTTTCTGGGGAGGAGGAGGGAACAGGGAAGGGAGGCAGGGAAGCTGGTCCCTGAGCCCTCACTCCAACACCATGTTGTGTTAGGGTCATCAAAGTAGTCGTTTGGGGGTTGGGATGTGGCGACCCCTAAGTGTCTGTCAAACATGAGGGCTGCAAAAAGATGCTCAGTTGTCAGGGCAACCAACAAGATCCACAGTAATGCGGGGAGTTGTAGAAAGTAGGTGTCTTGGGAAAGAAGTGACTAGCAGAAGAGCTCCTTGGGTAATCAGAAGGCATCTGCACACAGACAC